AGATACTGAAACCAGGAGCAATACCTAATGAGGGACTGTGGCTATGGGAGAGAGAAGATCATGCTAGTGCTATTATCAATGGTGACTCTACCTCACCTACACTAGTAGTGATTGGTGGAACGAATAAGAATAATGAACTAGTTAATGAATGTTTGTTATTTGATGGTATCACTACTGGTCAGTACAGTTGTAGGAAGGTACATGTATGTGTGTGTATAGTACTGTAATGATGTGTGTGTGTATAGTTACATCTATAGGTCAGTTGATAGTATAACACTAGTACTGATGTATATTGATGATAGATTAGTAATTGTTAGTGTGTTCAGTAGATAACACTATCACTGATGAAACATTAACAATACAATAGAACCACCCACATATTTGATTAAAAATTACACACTACATTATTTTGTGGACCAACCTTAGTGTGTGTGTACTATTAGTACATTTCCTATTAATATGTACATGTACTGTACATATTTTGTTATTCTTCACATGATGTGGAATAAAATGTTTATTTTGTTTGTTGATGATAAGGATTAGAATTCATTTTACAATTACAATAAATATAACAATCATCTACATACACATGTATGAAATGATACAATTTCTCATTTTTATCAGCAACTGTATAAACATCATGTATCAGTAATTACTTGTATACTTCTCTTTATCTATAGATTCCTCTACCTGAATCTGTTACTGGTAGATACTATCACTCACTCACAGCAGTCACAATGTCACCACACTGTGTGTGGCTAGTAATTGTTGGAGGATGTGAAGATTTTGGAATGAAAGATGTTGGAGGAGGAAAAATGATGCCATGTAGTACACCAATCACTGATACTAATAGACTAATAATGATAATTGAATTAGGTAAGATAATATTAATCAATTGTAAGGATATGAGCATTAAATACATAATTACATTAATTATTGTACCACTCATTTTTATAGTATATACCGTATACGTTCAAATTTTCGAGGGTTCAAAATTTCGTGCTTTCAAATGAAATTTGCTCAAAAGTTAATATTCGTGTGAGCTAATTTTCGTGTTCTGGCCATAGTCTACATACAATAGAATGGCATTAGAGGTGGTTTAAATTTCGTGGATTTAAGGTGAGCACGAAAATAACGAAATTTAATAAACCTCGAAAATTAAGACACGTACGGTACATTATTTGTAAATTTCAGTTCCTAATATGACGTACATTTTCCATTCATTTTGTATACTGTACACACTACAATACCACTGTATGTGTGGGTGTGTATTTACAACCACTATTAATGATACCGTTAGTTTATAAATGAAATACATTTATTTATAAATATACATGTATAATGTATCTTATTGTCTCTCAGTATATAGTGAAGCTGGTGAGTGGATAATACAGTCAGTACTGGATGGTAATGATCTCACTAGTAAGAACTATCAAGAAAAGTATCAATCGTACAGCAAGACAAGAACATGGTGGTTGGATCAGCTAATAGAATATCCCACAGAGAGGGAAATGAAGCTTCAGAGATATATACAATCTTTACACCAAGAGCTACAAGTGGCTCATCAGAGCAAAGTATCACTACAGGAGGCACTGGTTGAGGCCAATAAACAAGGTATAGGATACTACACACACATACTTTAACTGTACTAACTTATTACTATTATGTACTATTGTGTGGTAATTCGTAGTGTGAGTGTG